GGATGATGATGTTTTTATTCACCTGGCAAAGACCTATTCTTTCAACCACGCCAGCATGTACAAAGGGACCGGGTGTGACAGCAGGCAGACCTTTCCAGACGGCATCACCAATGGGTATTCCTGGTACCAGCTGGAGGGTAAGAATGGCAGGGATATTATTTCAGCCGCTTCAGATACGATATTCTCACTTGCTTCTGCCACCTGTGGTGATGAAAGGGCTGTCATTTTGCCCAGAGTAGAGGGCTGATACAAGCAGCTAGCGAGCTGTGTAAGCCAACACACTCGTAGAGGTTGTTGGAGCAGGACATGGGTGTTTGTGGGCTCTGCTGATCAGCAGCTACATGAATGAATGAGGCAGTTGCTGCAGTTTTGACTGACTTCTTCTATGTCCTGTATCAAGGGAACATAGCTTTCATCTATGTTCAGGTACATCAGTCTGGCACCAAGGCCAAAAACCTCTCTTTCCTTTCAGAAAGGAAGCAAATGTTCTGTTCATGTATCATCCTTTTAAAAATAAACAAAAAAACTTTGCTGAATTATTATTTTTTTTAATTTCTGTTTCCATGTAGCCAAATACAATGTGGGTCCTGTGTACTCTGGTACATGCCGTGTGTTGCTTTCCCAGTCTGAATTCAAAGCTTTAAAAGGCTCTTAGGACAGCTCCAAGACTAGTGAACCCCATGCCAATCCCTGGATTTATGTCTCTGTTTAGTGGGGAGTGCTTGAAAAGCCTTCTGAGTTCTTAAGGCAAAGACCCACCCTTCCTCAACCACAATAATCATCATTTCCAAAACACTGCTGTACTTTAAAAAACAACACCCTACAAGTATATAGAGAGTTATTAAGCTGTTTTTCCACAGGAAGCAGTGAATATAAGTGTGGCATTGAGGAATAATTTGTCTAATTGACTTTTCTTACAGGTGCCAATATTTTTAACTTCCATTTTTCTTACAGCTTGAGCTTGGTGCTTCTTTGCAGCTGAACACTGGCTTGTTTTATTTTACTTTTAAGGTGGAATGCAAGATTACAACTACGTCTGGGGACAATGTTTTGAAATCACATTGGAGCTGTCGTGCTGTAAATATCCTCCAGCAGACCAGTTGGAGAAATTCTGGACAGACAACAAAGTTGCTCTGGTTGAATACATAAAACAAGTACACCTAGGTGGGTGTGCAGCCGGGGAAGGGAGCTAAAGCTGAGACAGGGACAGTGGGCAAAGTGGGCAGGCTGCAGCAGCCTGGGTCTGTGTGGGGAGCTACGGCATGAATTTGGGAGCTGACGTGCTCCAGGAATGACTTCAAAGGCAAGTGCTACAAGGCTAGGGATGGGTGAGAGAAGAACTTAGAGGTGGGATTGTCAGGTGTGGGGCAGGAGCAAGGAACAGGCCCTGGGGCATCTCACCTTCCCTGGCCTCCAGGGAGCCTGCTCTCCTGAGCAGCCCTGGGGCAATCACTTATCTCCAAGGTCTCTAAACGTGTGTGTATGTGGGCACGGTGCCTGGCTCTTTGCTGCTTGGATTTTGTATTTTTAAGACCTAAGCATGGTCTGGACTTCACAGCTGGAAGAGAGAAGTGCTTAGTGAATTAGTGGTGTTCTGCAGAGGGTTCAAGGGTTCGAAGGGATCTGTTGCTTATCTTGCATTTCATTGCCTTGAATGTCTGATGGCTGTTTTGCTTAATGACAGCGCTGCCTTTAAGGTGGTTTGTGAGAATTAAGGGGAACTGCTCCAGAAGCAGACACTGTTATTCTGCCATTTGGAAGTGCTAGATAAGAGGCTGGGCTATTTAACAAACACACACACACAAAGAACACACACGCTACTGAAAATGTGAGCCCTTCAGCAAGACACGTACAGTAAGTAGGTATGATGCTTTTAGCAAGTGAAGCTCAGAAGCAGAGATTAGAATGGTGCTTTCTAAGCTAACGTGAGGGGAAGCTGCTAACAACAGAAAGGATTTTCTATTTTGCTTCTCTTCGGTTAGCTGTAAGTACTAGTGATATTATTAAATGTACTTGAAATCATTGAAATAGCTGTTGAATTTCAGAAACGAATAGTCCAACTCAGCCAGTCAAGGAGGCTCGTCACAAGCACGCACTGTGATCTTTCTCTCCTCTCCCTTTTTCACAGGAGTCAAAGGCCAGGTTACCGATAGGAATGGAAATCCTATTCCCAATGCGATCGTGGAAGCCCAAGGGAGGTCTCACGTCTGCCCATACAGGACAAACGCACACGGAGAGTACTTCCTTCTCCTTCTGCCTGGGAAGTATGTGATCAATGTAAGTGTGCTGCCTTACTCAATTATCATTTTTGATTACATCGAGTTCTTGAGCACAGTGAGACCGAATCCTTATAGCCGAGTAAGGTGGATCTGCTTTAGTCAAATACAGGAACTGTAAAGACTCATGAGCTGATTAACAAATAAATTTATTAATTGTAATACCTCTTTGGACACGAGCAGCCAGTGAGGGCCTCCTGCTGGTGCTCAGCCCCCTGTCCCCGCCACCCTCCTGCTGCAGCGGGCTGAAGGAGTAAGGCAGCAGGCTGAGGTTTGGTCCCTAGAGGCGAGCAACCTCAATCCGTGGCAGCACCTTACAAGAGGCAAGGAAAAAACACGCCTGAGAGAAATTCCCTTACTGTGGCAGAGAATGCCCTGTGACACCTAGCACTTAATTCTGCTGCTAGCCTTGGGCTTGTTCAACCCGTAGTTCCTTGGTCCTGTTCACACCAAGCAGACCTCACTCAGGGCTGTGCTGCTGCCCGACACGGTTAGCTACCCACCAGGTCGCATCCTCCGGGCTGCGTGGCTCTTGGTGCTAAGCGATTTACTCAGTTCAGCCACTGCAAGGTAATGACTCAAATAGAGCAAAATGAGCTAAGGGCCTTGTGAACTGGGGGAAGCATATGTTCTGTTACCGTTTCCATCTCAGATTTGTTTAGACTTATTGCTGTAATGTGAAAAACTTTTCTCTTGCTGTAGCTCAATTTATATTTAGAATGCTTTTCCTACACATTTAAAGTATAAATAAAGTGCCTAGACACTGATTGTTTCACAGCCGAACTCGGTGCTTCAAGAAATCTTTCACGCTTGTTCCTAGGCTACTGTACCTGGATTTAAGTCGATGCTGAAGACAGTGGAAATACCTGATAACACTGCTAACTTCAACGCTTTGAAGCAAGACTTCTCTTTCTCAGAAGCCTCTATCAGGACAAGACCTGCTTCATGTCCTAAAGTGCCCTTGTACCAAGGGCTTGAACGTTCTTCAGCAGCAGTAAAACCAACTCTACATCTCTTGGTTTTAATGGCCGCCATGATTCTGCTGTTCAGATAAAGTCAGGGATGATGTGACAGGGCAAAGTCTTCCTGCACAAAGGTGGCTTTTGAAACAAGAAATTGTGTATGTAAAAGAATGTATGTTTTTATGAACCTAATTCTCAGATTTATAATCATTTATTGTATTTTGTAAATTACTGGCTTGACAATCAGATGTTTTACTTGACTTGTAATAGCCTACCCTATTTTTCTACATAATTGGAGTAAATATTTTACTCTAAAGAAATACTGTACAGTCTATGGAGGTAATTGTAGAATTCTGGTGCAGGTGGTTACACATCTTTTGAAGAACTTGCCAGAGTTAAAAAAAAAAAAAGGCTTGGCTTGTTTTGCCACTGTTTCAAACTGTTTCAGTGTTGAACAGTTCATGTGCCCACACAACTGTAAGCAAGTAGCTCAATCCTAATTTCTTGTAATAAAGCCACTGCTGTAAATGAAGAATGACATTTTAAAGTGTGCTCTTTCTTGTCCAGACAAATGAGACCGACTGAGGCTGAAATAAGATTGGTAACACATGGGGGAAGAGAAGAAGCTGGAAATAAATTAACCGTATGTAAGTGCCCAAGGGCCGTGCTGCTGGAGCTCGATGATAGCCTGTGCCATCAGGCAAAAGGCAGTAACACAGGTCTCTGAGTAACTGTTCAAAATAGAACTATTGAAAGCAATGCAGAGACAGCCCCCTACAGCTTTATACAATTGCCTTTTTCTTTTTTTTAAACTGGATTTGTTACAGAGCAGAACCGTAATTCACAATTTTTCAATCTAAATAACTTCAGCTATTTGTTTTTTTTTAAGCATGTTTCACAGCCCTCTTACCTCCCTCTTTGGCTTGTGCCTGGCCTGCATACAGCAGAAGCTGGAAGCAGGAGCAAACCTCGCTAACAGTACTCTATCAGGTGCAGCTTTAGCTGATTCCTTTTACCTGGTCAGTTGCAAACCATTTTCAAGGCACCTTGAGGCTGTCCAGCAAACCAGACTTTACAGAGGGAAGTCAGTACCACCTCCTGTGTTTATTTTGAAACTTAAGCTGCTACTAGTTTTCTTAAGCAGTTTTATAAGCAGCCAGAGGAGATGGTCTTTGGAAACATCTACCTTTTCCTGCACACCATAAAGCAAGAATGCAGGAACAGAATTAATGTTTGACACAAGTACAGTTTTTTGAAATGTACCACTGGTACTGCAGAGGTGCTTCTGTGTTTCACATCAAGACACACCAGCTCGGCCATTGGGCTCAGGCTAAGTGTGAATACACTTCTGGTACTGAAACACCAGTGCAGCTTCAGAATAGCATCTCATTACATACAGAATGTACATAAGATAGCATTTTGTCATTGTCTTTGTTTGTTAGATCTCATCCATTTCAATTATCTACCTTTTTTCCCTCCTTTTAAATGCTGTGGAGTGTTTACCAGTCAGAGCAGTAACCAATTATCCACCACTCCCTCCAGGGAGGCTTGGTTCCGATACCATCACATATAGCAGAAAGAGACAGAGAGCCCTGAAGTTCAAAATATTCTAAAAGCAGGAACGTGAGAGGTGACTCCATGCTACCAGGCAGGGGAGAAGGAAGCTGCAGTGTTGTTTCACAGAATTAAGAGGCTGTCTGAAAATCAAGTAGGAGAACTTAAAAGAAAAAAATCAACAAGAAAAAAAAAACAAAACACTAAGGAGCATATAAACACATCTTTATTTAAAGCTCTTAGACATCATAGTTAATTTTCTCAGAAAAACTGAAAATCAAAACACAAATGCAGTACACAAGAAAATTCTCATAAAAGGTAACTGCGCTGTGCAATGTGAGTGGGCAGCTGCACGTGAATGGTTACTGGACGCAGCAGGACGTGCCCTGGTTAGCCACAAGGGACACACAAGTCACCAGAAGTGTGTGGCAAAATTGCGTAGTTAATGAACTTCACTATTAAACTCTCTATTGAAGAGCAATTCCAACTCCACACAGTCAGACAACAAAGTAAGACTCTGCTTTACATTAACACTTTAGGTGTTACGTAATCTTCACACTGACTGCCTCAATTTAACACAAAAGAAAAAAAAAAAAAAAAAGGAAAACCTGCCCCTTGAAAGTCAGGCTGTTAACTTAAAGCAACATCTACTAAAAGGGGAGAGAACGCCTGAATGTAACCCACAACTTCTACACATACAATAGGGTCTGACAGCGATGCATTCAAATGTTGAGTGTGGCTGTGGTAAATACAAGCACGTACACATTAGTTGAAAGCAACAATTTTTCCTTTTCAGCAAGTTCAGTCTATTGTTTAAAAAAAAAAAAAAAAAAAAAAAACCTTAAGCCCACACTTGGGGATTGGTTGAATTATTATTATTTTTTTTAATCTTTTGCTTGCTCAAACTTTAAACTAAGTAACCCAAAAAATAAAGATACACCACTCTCTCTCCTGTAAGAGCATGGTTTTCTGAAAATTATTCTTGCTGATGCTTTCTGCAATGAGGAACTGTTTTTTTCCCCTTGTTTCACTGGAAAAAAATGTGCCCAAAGTCTTCCCTGTTTTTTCATACCCATACAGAAATTTCACACAATGACATTTAAACAAAATAACAGAAAATGGAACACGGTGATATAACTGAACTAGACTGCTAGAAATAAATAGAACACCCCCTCAATTCAGTTTTGTAGTGTGTTTACCCGTTCCTGAATCAGACGCCTCACTGAAGGGGCACCAAAGCTTCTTGTGCAATGCAGCACGGCGTGGACGTCCTCCAGACACAACGCGGGGTGGGTGCGCTCCGCCGACAGTCCTTGCAGAGTGGGTATGCAGCACAAGCAGCAGCCCCACGACCGGCTTCACCCCGACAAGGCTTTTTTAAAAGATGAAGGCAACAGGCTTGTAATGTAATTAATTTTACGTGAACTTTCTCAATTGTTTTAACACTCAACAGTCCTAGCATTTTGGGGAAGTGTCAGATGCTGAAACAGAGCGGTTGTGGCACCTCTCGTGGGATCTCCACTTCGCACTTGGCCTTCTTGGGTGAAGTGATAAGGCTGTATTTTAGCCAAAAGTGATTTTCTTGTACAAATGCGAGTCCTTGCAGTATTTGCACCTAAACACCGTCGACCTGAAGTGCGCAAAGAAATAGACTGTGACAATGACAGACATTGTGTACTTCCAAATTTTCCAAGCATCCGGCCTTTCCTTCAGCCTCCTGACCAACGGAGAGAAGTTTCCATCCGGTGTAGATGTTGACTGGGAAGCCTCTCGTCGCATCACATCATTCATACGGTGACCCCCAGCGGTGACTCCACACGGGAGCAGTATTTGGGGAGGGCAAAGCATTCCAACAGAAAGCACCACCAATGGATTTCCACCGTGCTACTGCAGCATCAGCTTCCACCTCTAATACCTGCCGTACAGTTTCAACACACGAGTTGTATTAAGGGAAGGAGAAAAGTCGACGACGTAAGTCTTCCTGTGTTGCTCTTAGCCTGAATACAGCTTGGCCGACCTTTGTTTTTAATGCTACCATTGCTTGAACTGGCTCCTCGGAACTGCGCTTCACTCAGCACGCATATTGGTTTATCTGCACGTGTACCAAAAGGCTAATTCAATAAATTAAAGCTCAAAACACTAACTACAAGCACAAGAATATTTACAAACTGCAATAAATTAAAACGCATACAATATTAAATACACCTCACCACGTAAGAATAAAGGTCAACCTTTGCACCGCTACCCAAGGACGGGCCAAAAAGAACAGGGCAGCAAGCAAAGGCTGCTCACCATTATCCCCTTCTTGGTGTCACAGCCCGCATTCAGGGCGGCTGCACAGAGACGAGCCTCAGGATTTGAGCATTTTGGATAAAACCCCTGTTCTCAGCCCATGTCTTGGTCCGCAGCACAAGGCAAAGGCGCAAATTTCTTGTACACAAAAAACAAAGCTCAAGAACAAACAAACTTACTGGGTGTTAAAAATAATATTAGGCCAGAAAATATAATTTTAAAACACATCGCTCTGACACAGTAGATTGGCCAAGGAAGCAGGCACCAAACGCACCTGTTTCCTTGGCATTGCATGGAGTAGAGGCCATTTCCAGGGCTACCCTGCCCTACAGAAGACGCGCTGAGGATGTAAAATTTTTTAGCATACAAGGAGAAAATTGTTGTGTTGAATGCTTTCATTTTACTTTATGCCAAAGCAGAAAGCTTCAGTGGGATTGGTTCTGAAGGCAAATTCCACAGCTGAGCGCTTGCGAACAGCAAGATCGCTGCTGGGACCATACAAGCATCTTTGAGAGCTGAAGCATCTCATTTATTTTTTTTAAACATATGGAGAGCACTTAAAAGGGGAGGGAAGACCAGGACGGCACCATTGGTCCCAGCAGGAACTGGGCGCTCCCCACAACTGCAGTGACACAGCCCTTACAGTGACTGTAGGGAAGGATCAAACAAACAAAGCCTCAGACATACCAGACAATGGAAGGGAGGAAGATTTTAAGCACACTGCCCAGTTTATCCGTGCTCCCCCTGAATGTACAGGTTTATAACTCTGTTAACTGCACACTCCGGACCCATCTGACCACCGCTCAGTTCTGACCTGCAGGTGCAATGGCACAGCCTCTGCAAGCAGTACTGCACTTCAGTTTATCAAATAAAAATACAGAAAATAAATAGAAAGCAATGCCAATTAAGGCAGGTAATTATGTATTAAGAGCACTGCTACCCGAAAATGTTCACTATCTGCTGAAACGACTCTTCCACCTCAGGCTGAAAGACTGCCTAAACCCAGCTGAAAGGCTCCTGCTGACCGAAGCCTGTAACAGCTTCAGCAGCTTCCAACCAGCAGCTGCCACTTCACAACTTGCAAGAACAAGACACCTGCGTGTGGACAACTCTTCCTTTGAAGAAACACAGGACGTCTTAGGGGGTTTGTTTAGTTACAATGAACTACAAAAAAAAAAATGCTTCAGAGATATCAGTATCTTTTAGTAGCAGCTTTCAAATATTAGCTCAACTAGGTGAGCAAACAACAAGCTGCTGAGAACACACAAGCTCTCTGGTAATGTAGCTCCGGAAGAAATAAATACAACCCGCTGCTACAGAAAGTCTCCATCTGAAGATCAGCTCAGATGAGTAAGCTAGCTACATCTTTAGAATCCGACCATACAAAAATATGCACATTACCCCCTCTGAATGCACCACAGAACTATGTTACAGGACTTCTTAATAAGGAACTGGTAAATTTCACACAGGTTTTGGCAAAGTACAGGGAGGAGACAAGCTAAAAGCAGTAAGAACAGATCCAACTCAGACAAACATTCATTCAACCAAACACCTTGCAAGAGATTTTCAAAATGCTTATGGTACAGATAAAAACAGCCCAAGTCAGAAAGACTGCTTAAACTTAAAAACAAACGAACAAAACCAAACAGTGTGAAACAGAACTACACAGCTCATTTGTTTCTGCAGATGGAGGTGGATTTTTTATATTTTTTTCCCCACTATTTTTATTCAAGCGAACAGAGCGATCAAGCTGTGTGCCACGCTACTGAAGTCAAAAACAAGTGCAGAGAAAATTTAAACATTGCCCAATATCACCTATTTGCCTGCCTTTTAATGTAAGTTCTCCTTCATTTACCTTGCCTGTTCGCACCTCTCACGCTCTGCTGAAGAAACCAGGATAGTACAGACCACCAAACCACACAACATTTTAGAGGTCTGTTTCTCAGAATATTTAAGAGGTAATTGTAAGCCTAACTGGTCAATGACTTCTTCTCAGGACATATCCTAAACAAAAGACACAGTACCCTTTTCTGTTCGCAAATTTTTAGATGTTATTTTCTACCACAACTGCCCCTATTTCCCGATATGTATACAAAAAAAATCTCCCTTTTGGAGAATCTCAATTTTTGGGAACGTGGGAGACAAGGCTCTATCTTGTTATTTTATTGACTTATTCTGAGGGTTCTTATTCTGCCTGGTGTCTTCACCAGGCAACAGGTAGTGGAATGTAGAGAATTCCCTTTCTTTGTAACAGGAGGAACCGACTTGAAATGCATTCTTCAAAATGTCTTTCCTCTGTTAATTACGGAGCTTGGATTTTTAATGTGTGATCAATCCAGTAATACAAATCTTGCTAACTTCTGTGTGCGGTAAAACACTTGGGAAGGCAAACAGTACCTGGTAGGAATTGGTCACTTCTATTGAGAGGGGCTTACAATATCCAAGTGGACTAACGAGCATTAGGCTAAACTTAACAATTCCAGTGCATTTATTTCAATAACGATTTTTCTTACCAAAGGCAAAGACACCCAAAATATCAATCTGCCAATAAGTATATAAAAATAGTTTCTTACTCTCTTAATTATGGTACCAGTTTATAATGTTCCTTCTGCCGCTTTTCACTCAACACGGTTTAACCAAAGTAAGTCAGTACGATCATCTGGATAGGCTGTCTGCACACCGGGCACGGTTTGTTCCTCTTCTTCAGCTTCCTTGCGCACGTGAAGCACGACATGAGGTGTCCCGTTTTGCCATGTACTATGCACCCATTTTTCGGTCTACTCTGGCATATGACGCAGGGCTCTATGCTGCTAACAGGCAGACTGGACTCCACGCCTTCCTCTTTGCCTGGCATTTCTCTCTTCTCGGGCTCCTTGTAGTCCTCCTGACTGCTGCAAAACATGCTGCTAGACGTAGATGGCTGAGAATAATCTTCACTTTCCTGGGACTCGGATATTTGTACTGCTTTCTCTTCATTCTCCTCCACGGGTGGTTCTTTGTCTTCAGTCATTTTCACTTTCTTACAGTCAGGTACATCAAAACCTTCTTCAGATTCTAGGTGGAAAGAACTTTCTAATTTGCTCGCTGCCAATTTCTCATTCTTTTCATCAGGAAGCCAGTCCTCTCGAAGGGCCCAGCATCTGTGGCAATGCCGTGGAAGCGGAGGATTCATTTCACTGCATTCAGGACACTTCCAATAATCCTTGAGTAAATTAAAGGTTTAAACAGCTTAAGCTACTTGGAATGCTTACAACTGAAGTACACAGAGATTATAAAGAATTTATTACTGCCAAAATACCAGTGATCTTGAACTATCAACCTGTTTATCGTTTAAAACTTCCACTGGGTGTCTGACCATTGTACTGTCCTGGGTTAAAATAGCCTCATTTTTGTTAAGACTCTCTGATTTTATTCCTTCTTGCAGTAGATTTGTAAAAAGAAAATAGAAGTGGAATAATAACGGTTTATTAGTTTTAGACAAAACTGAATAAACTAGACTATAAAGTCTTCACAGAGAACTTCCTTCTGATAAATGGACACTGTTCCCGTCAGTTTCAATGACAAACTTCTGAACTAGAAACTAGTCAAGACTTTAACCTGGTGAAAGCCAAACTGCTGGTCTGCAAAACGGCCGGGTGAGGGCACTCTGACACAGCAGAATGGGAATTACACAGCACAGAAAGCAACCAGCCATTTAGGAAGAGTTGCATCACTGTGTCAGAGCTTACTCCGTACACTATACTAGAAACAGACACCATCTCATTAAAAACACTTCATTTTTAAGGAGGAGTACCCTCCTTAGAAATAACGTATGTGGCAGGGGTGGGGTGGCAGAACAAACCCAAACACTACGTATTTAGAACGCCTTTCAGGACGCTTTTTGGTTCAAGTCCCAAATAGCATCAGAGACATCAGAAGTTTGAGACTAACTTTAATTCCTAAACATTTTTTTTTTCCATCCATAAGCAGCACTATGTATGTATGGTTAGCCCCGTGTTTCACACCTAGAGTCAAGTCCCTCAAGTCCTACAGACCACCAAGGGACAAACATTTCAGGTGGCTTTGTAAAACAGCTGTACTCAAGCTTCTACAATGAAAAGCAACTATAAATATTTTATTAAAAAAATAAACTAAAAAAAATGTATAAGCCTTTAACTAATTTAAAGATTTTAAACTATGAATCTTTTATTAAAACCACCAGCTTTTAGCATTTTTTTATCATGTCTTTTTTTTTTTTCCCATGTCTTTATCTGTTGCTCCAATACCCTGAATTTCTTCTCTATGCTACAGACTTGTTTATTCAGACTGGACAGTAAAACCAGATATTATGAACTATGAGAAGTCTATATAAGAAGAAAATAGACTTTTTTTTTTAAATATATGTGAACTTACTAGGTTTTCTTTTTTTTTTTTTGGTTCTCTTGTTTTGTTTTTTTTTCCCCATTTTGTGAAACTGTAAATTAGTATCATTTTTAATGGCTCAGGAGACTCACTAAAAACATTTTTTAAAATACCCATGTTCATTAGTGGTCACACGTTCAGTAATTAAGCTACTGGCTTGGAATCCTCATGCATGTGAGAAATAAAAGGCAACTGTATTTTTTAAAAGTCACAGGTAACGACTGAGTTCTTCTATATTCCTTGACGTACTGTCAGTTTGCCCAACTTATGATGTTTTGCCAGTCAAGGCTTTACTTACAGCTAGAGAAATCTCTGGATCTTCATTGAATGAATCAGCATCACTATCTTCATCCTGATAAATGGTCAGCTGATAAACCTAATTTAAATTTAAAAAGAAAAAAAAAGTACTGATATAACTGGTTTTGAATTCAATTAAAAATATTTTTTCTGATAGATCATTTTTAATTAAATTAAATTAAAAGTACTGCTCTGTTTACGTTAAAAAGCTAGAAGCTACCAAGCAACTCTACAAAATCTGATGGTTAGCTGATAGGGGGTGGCGTGGGGAATGTGTTCACACTTGGAACGTGTCGTTTGACAAGAAGACTATACAGATAGAAGGAACCGCCTTCCAGAGTAGAGGGGTTCCTTCCCTTCTGCTCAACAGGGGTGGGGCCACACCTGAATACTGTGTCCAGTTCTAGGCTCCTCTGCTGCTGAAGGCAGAGGCACACCCTCAATCCTTTCTTCCTCCAACCTCTCTGCTGCACTCCAACCCACTCTAAATCAGTACTGACAGTCCCACTCCTCCCCTGTCATGAATTACAATCATGTATATCCCTGTCCGATTCCACCTTTGGTACTTACCTGATCTTTTCAGGAGCTAATTTAGCTCTTAAGTATCAGAAAACTAACAGAAACAGAGATCTGCTTCCCTCCTGACATTCCACATAGCTCAATCTCTCAAAAAAGATGGCAGTAACTATTTTAAAACTGTCTTTTTGCCTCCTATGAAAATTTCTACGATTATATTTCAGTGTATTTCTACGAAACATCTGTACTAATAGAAGCAAATGACTTAGAAATATCACTTTGCAAAGATTTACTAGTAAAGTTTCATTATCAATGAAAACTGTTGTCAAAAGCTCAACACATGTCCAAGTAACGCTTCTGTAATTACATAAGAATAGACTCAGGTACACAGAATGCCATGAATAGCTCGTGAGCAAAGTTTACCAGACAAACTTTTACCACCAGCCTGCGTGAGAGCCTGTGGAATGCACTGGCACTGTTCTGATGGGTATATAGTGATGACCCAACTGCAAAGAACGTAACTTGTTTTAATCAATGACTGAATGCAATTTGTTATGGAGCACTCCTGAAGAATTACAGCTGCTTCTTGTTGGAATTTCAACATAATTTTCTTTAATTTTCCTTAGCTCTGTCACCCCCTGGTCAAAGAAAAAGTACCTCATCATCTTCATCTGTGAGCTCCTGTCCTTCTTCATTATGGCTATAGTCTTCTGAATAAATAGATTCAACTTCAAACTCTACACTGAACTGGTCTGAAACAGAACTATGGTCAAACCAATCGGAGTTTTCACTTAGTGAACTGGCATCGAGATCCTGAATGAAAAAGAAAGGAAACAAGGGTCAAACAACTATCCAGTTTAATTAGCTATGGTAGAAATAAGAATAGCCACTGTTAGATGGAACAGCACTTATGAGACAAATTGATTACAGCTTAGTAAACTTAAAAATCTTAGATCTTAAAAAACTGGTAAATGCAAAAAAAAAAAGTTTTGACTTACAGGAATGGAAAGAGAATCTGTTGAATCACTGCTATTGCTTCTTTCACGGCACAGCCCACTGACTACACACCATGAGAGACTTTCATCAAATGTCAACGAAATGCTGTCTGACTTGTGTCGTTTTCTTCTGTCAGCGTGCGGATCATCTGAAGGATTTTCTTCTGGGCACATTCAAGAATTTTTATTACTCCAAAAATATCTATACAATGTGCAGTTTTGAATGTTCTTAACAGCAGCTTAAAATACAATATATTTATGTAGCAATTGAAGAAGAATAAAGCTATCCAGTATTATTTTATAGAAAAAGGCACCAAAAACAAATGAAAGAAAAAGACAGTCACACTGAGAAACATTCCTGAAAACAACAATTCAGAGACTGCCTTTCCCCACTTCTCCCACCTGTACAGCTTGTAACTGGCAGTCTCCGCATGCAGGAAATAAAGTAATTGCAAATTTTGAAGAATTTTTACCCCAATTCACACATGACACACATTAATCCCTCCTAACTTTGAGGAATAGTTCAGATTTTAATTGTAGGAGCTCCCCCTACAGTCGTATGACAGAAAAACACTTTCAGGGGGCTTGCTAGCCCATCCCAGAATTTGGACAGAGATCCCAGGTCAAATGTGTAAGAAGGACCTCGAGCTAGGCAAGGCACGTTCAGGTTCAAGTTTCAGATATCCCAGAAAATCCATCAATTAACAGCTGTACTATATGCGATTGTATTTACTCGTTTTGTTTCAAAAATTTCAACGTTATGTGAACGATTTTGACAACACATGAGCAAGAAAATCTTCAAGGCTAACACACAGTGTAAAAATTGAACCATGAAAACATTGCTTTAAGCTGTGCTTGTTATGTATGCCTAGTTTGAAGGCCAAAAAGCAATGCTTTTTAAATGTATCATGCTTTGATACAACAATCTAGGGCAGCATAAGCAGTAGGGGGACAGCATTTTAGGGGTAGGTAAGTCAAAATTCACCTCCACTGCCTTTTGGTGTGTTTGATATCAAACAATTTTCTTAAAAAGGCATTGCAAAGTCGGTATGTATGTGCAGTGGAGTGAAAGTTCCCCAGGAGGACTGACAACGTGGTTCAACAGACCTCAGTAAGGGCCTGCTGCCCCCTACAGGCGCCCTCTGCGTACACCCTGCATTGCCCAGCTTTGCCCTGGCCTTGCAAAACACACGGACAATCCACCAGTCTCCAAGCCTTGACATCTTTTTCATCGTAAAAGAAAAGAGAACAAAACACTTGTACATACTTTGAGACTTCTCTTACTTTCCCTTGGTGCTTCTTGGCTCAGCCCCTCTCTTTTCTTTTTCCGCCCTGAGAGCCCCACCACATTTGGTGCCCCCAAGGCCCAAGGGTTGCTCCTGTCCATCGTTGTCCTCATTTAGTTGCCATGGCTCCATGCTGTACTGATACTGTACCACCACAAGGTTTCTATACACTATATAAGCGGCTCCAACAGGAGCCGCTACCATCATAATTTAACAAGAATAGTGGCTTAAAAGGAAGATTTCCTATAAATTAGAAAAAAAGTGTATATAAAAACACTATATTAAAAGAACTTTTAAGGTTGTAACAGACTAATAAATGGATGCAAAGACACGAGTTAATAATCAAACCTACAATAAGTAAGCACAACACAGGACCTTACGTGCTCTGGGTCATGCCTAAATATTACAGGTTATGATGCTTAACTGCAGCTTTCCATCCCTTCACCAGTTTTTGTTACAACATTAAATGTTCTTTTAATTTAGTGCAAACTGCTCAGCAAAACAGCACAGTTTTCCGACTGGCTAATAAAAACAGTGGCCTATGATGAACATAGAAAAAAAAAAACTACATAAATGCTGAGGAACTTTAAAATGTTCCCAAGGAACTGAAAAAAAATAAAGAAAAAAAAAAGTATCTATGCAATGACAGAAGTTTATCACTGCCCAGGTAAGTACAGGTGTCAAGTCATGAGGTAATAAAAGTGAGCAAAGAAACAAACTAACACTATTTCGGATTCCTTAATAGTGTAATGTTGAACTGCACAGAGAACGCATCCATTGAGCAACTGAATGTTACACAGGTTTATGCTGACCAACTTATTTGCCAATTCTCAGAAGAAACAGTCCATACTTTGAAAACGTATTTGCCAGTGATTTCTTAATAACCACAATAAGGAGGAACTGGGGACAAACAAAATGCTTAAGTGGCCAGACTTTTTTTTTTTTACAAAGTGCTTGAAAAACATCCAAAATCATCCATCGTTAGTGTTGGACCTTTCACATCTGTATCACCAACTGAAATCCAGTGAAAACTGCTTTCAGAGTGCAAACAAAATGTAAAATGTTGTGGCTATCTACAGAGGGACTGGAAATGCCTTTGACTACATCAGTACAAAAAGTTCTCATCGTGAAGACAGCACAACGGATTATGTCCTGCTAATGTGAACATGTTGAACAGATCCCTGGAACAAATTGTTCTATCATCTTGCTAACAGTTCTAGAAATCCGAACCATAAAACGACACTGGAGCAGTGCAAGCAATCCCGTACTTCTTCCAGATTGAACATTTTGTTTTAGATATGCAGAGGAACATAGATAGTGTTTGTTAGCATCTTTCCAAGTCAGTGAGGTAACAGAAAGTATTTTTTCCTAAGTGTCCGTGACATGGAAAGCTCCGCATCGTAGATCTGCACATACCGGATTCGCTGTGAGTTCTCCTCCTAGATGATGATGTTGGTCGGGGAGTCACGTTTGATGAAGTCTGCTTCTCTTCTAACTCTTGCATGGATTCCTGATTAACAGAAGTAATGAAAAAGCCCAAATATGAATTTGGTACAAGGCTAAAATTACTCTAACTGCATGGACACTATGGAAATGAAACTGAATTTACATCTCAGAACGTAAAAAATTGAAAGATTACCTTCAAAACATTTTCCTTCTCAAGCTGAAATCTGGCGTCAACCTCAGGTGTGTCAGCAAGCGTGCAGTCTGAAAACAAAACAAAACCACACTTTAGAACAGGGGGAAAAGTCAACTTCAAGCTCAAAAATATTACAGCAAAAGTAACAGAAGTCAACTGCACACAGCATTTACAAAGTTCTGAACAGAACTTACAAACCAGACGTTCTTTGACAACTGAAAATGCAACACTGCTCCCTTGCTCCAAGCTTGAGCAGCAGTGCCGCTGTAATATTATGAAAGTGGGAAAACAGGGAGAAGGAAGGAATCTCAATAGCCAAGTATGTCTGAATTCTATTATAAATGCCTCCAAATGAAAGTTGTGCATTAGCTGTGATTGTGCAGATATGAAATAATATACATGGAAATATTTTTATACTTCTATAGAGTATATTTTACTAATTATCATCTCATGGGAACATTAAATTCAAGAGACATTCCATAGAAGCAAAATTGAGTATTGTTAATTATATCTCCTGACAACCAGATGGATGCTGAATTTATCAATTATCTTCCAAGAAAAAAAAACAAAAAACAGGTAGGTTTAAGATTGCTAGCATAACAATAAGGGGTAATGAAGACAGCCCTCCAAAAGACACGTACCTTCAGAAAGAATCAAGACCAAAGGGTATCTCAGTATGGATTCAGAAACTAACTTACAAAACAGCAACCATTATTTAACTTCTGGTTTACTCCTTACATCGGTCAAAAATTACAGCTATATTGAGCATTTTATACTAGAGCAGAGTTATCATTTCTTTAAAAGTTTGTAGACCTCTTAAAGAGGACTCAGTGTTGCCAGTGTATCTGAGTGTAACCAGTTTTAAACATGTCAGATTCAGTTTTTCAAAAAACAAACAGAAAGAGAAAGCATTTGAACTTATTTCCTTGTTGGCACAAGTTCAAGCAGCTCATTTTTGGTATTAAAGCCTTCAACAACGTAAGCAGCTTTATCTGTAAGAAACACAAGCAATTTTTCAATTGAGTCTTGTTTATATTCAAGTTTTGATTATGTTTGTTCCGTACAAGTCCCACAAAATTACCCAAATGCTGTTCAGAATCAGTTTTGTTTCCAGAAGAAACACAGCACTGTGCTTTAATTCACCACTATTTGCGACCACTCCAGACACTAACATGTGAAGTCAAACAGCTAATTATTGAGAGACAGATGTGTTCTGGTCGCTACATGCAAGATGCATTAACATCAGTTGTATTTTCCCCACTCCTATTTCCCAAACTGGCTTACCTTGTTGATTGATTGCTACCAGGTTTCTGCAAATCATCGAATACACCCTCCTTCGATGGGGATAAAGAAAAGAGATGTTGCAAGTTAGGTTGCAGAATTCATACGTATGTTGCATGTTTAGCTGGAGAGCTGGTGGTGTTAGCATTAACTTTTAGTGTGGTAACTGGAGACTGCCCACAAAAGCGAGCCAGTTTCTATGACAAATGTAGAAAACAGTTATTCTAACTTGAAGTTTTTTTCAGCATTGTTGTTTTGCTCCTCAAAGCAAGCAGATCCCTACTTCCTTTCTGAAGAAAGGGAAGAGATTTTATCTGTCTCAAGAGCTGAAAGAGTATTATTTTTTTCAATTCATTCAGAGTCAGAAAATTCTGGGGGAAGAGTCATAATCCTTTTCACAACAAGCTCTTAACAAATCAGCATCTATTTCTACCTCTAACAATGATTCAAAATTACTCTTTCTGGAACTTCTGACAATTTGTCTTGCAAAGCAACCAAACTTACAGTATAACTGTGACTTATGTTAGGATTCAGAAAACTCTACATACAGACTCTGCAGCTCAACAATCGATTCAGAAGAAATGTTAAAATACCAAAGCTTTGTGCGGAAGTAAGGTATGATTTCTGAATAGAAGAACATATTGTGACTACATACTACAGTTTTCCACTCTTAACTTGTATACCTGCATTGCCAGCAAGTCAAAAGTCTCGTCTCAACTGTTATTGCAATCCCTTTGTAGCTGTTACTTAACAGCTGAGAATTTTCCCGTTTCACCTAGGGATGGTTTGAGGCTACTGTAACCCTTTCAAGTTTGTGGAACTTTTTGAGATTTCTTGGTTATAGACACAGACATTACTTCACAGAAAAAGACCAGATCAGGTGAAAAGTAATCATAAGAAAGAGCTTACCATCTTTCAAGATATAAAGAAATAATAAAAGGCCATATGAATTACGTTCTCCACTATTTATTTCACAATCAGACCCTCAGAAAAGAATTCAATTTTACCTGTGTTCTTTTACTGAAAAGCTTGTTACTCCAAATAAATCCCCAAGGAGATCATTTGCACAGTGCACAATGTGTTGCTCTTTTTCATCATATAATTGTTTAGACATAATATATTGTCCAAGATAGAATATTACCTGCAAAAGAAATCACATACACAGACATTAGCACACACACAGGTTTTGCTATTTCAAGTTCAAATACACGAGGAAACATTAAGTTAACTGAGATTTATTCCTCTCACACTAATTGATTAAAACTCCCTTTGAGTTTTTTTTTTTTTTTTTATTATTCCCCCAGTACTATGTTATTCTAAGGGCAGACAAAAGCCTTTGTTTAGTAAGAAACTTGCAAAAAATATCCTGTCTCATCACCTTTTGTGAACCTCACTGCTTCCCATTAACCCACAACAGAAGAATCTCCCTGTATTTACTGTCATCTACCTTCATTGAATAAAAAGTTCTCACCTCCTTCATAGTAAAAGTGTCTTTTTCCGCACCAGCTAGCTTCAATAGCTTCAACAACAGTGGCTTTGGTTTCACCTATGTGGAGATGAAGAAAGAAAAACAGTTTGCAGCAACTGTTCACCAAACAAAGCATTATTTATACAGATTAGCTTCCTCTGTCCATGTTAACCTCATGTAAGAAAAGACACAACTAAGTGATAATCTATCCACTCCCAACTTTTTGGCTTTGCAAAGTTAAACTTAAGACCTTTATCACTGTCAGGTCCAGAGTGCAAGAGACAAAGCAGAACTCTGGCTCCTGTGACAGTTTATGGGGCTATCTATGGCTTCACACTGGCCAGCTGGCTCTACCCTTTAGTCTTTTCTTAGCTGGGATAAGCAGACCCTGTCCTTCCCATTGTATTTCAATCGATCCTACTTCTACACTGCCCTCTGCCCTCCCGCCCACATGCTGTGCCAGCAGCTATTTCTGCAGCCAGTCTATGAACAGCCAGCGGTCTGAGGCAGAGGGAGGAAATGTTCCTATCCCTCCTCTGCCTTTTTTTTGCATTGTTCCACGAACAGCTGTGCCAGTACAATGCAGGAGATGAGAACAAGCTGCAGGGGATGTCACAACTGCAAACAAAATGCTTGTGTAACCACTGTCTGATGGTTGCGGGTACAGCATTACTTCCACCCCTAGAACAATAGCACAACCATTCTAAGAACTGACTAATACTTAGCTATAATAAGATGTTTTTATAATTTCTTTCTTACAGGAAAACATGAGTAAGATACAAGGCAAGGAACAAATGCTTAAGGAAGTAGGGGAAAGCTTTCCTATACTCCATTTCAAATACGCGTTACAGCTAGCAGTACGTTTAAGTGCATTAGTAAGAGATAAGTTGCAAGAATCATACTTAAAAACAAATATAGGCAACATTTCATTGCTATTCACTCCCTTCCTAAATGCTACAGCCATTTACAGCATGTAAATAAAGGCATGTTTCACAAAGGAAGCAAACACTAACTTATCAGACTAGGAAATACAGCTCAGGATAGGAATGCAGGGCAGTTTCAGTCCCCTGAATCCACAACTGATCTGCGAGCTGAGATGACGTTAGCAAAGCCCTCCCTCCCTCCCCAGCACCTGCAGGGCTGTGCTCCTGTGCAGGTCTGACAGCACACTGGGTAGCATCCTACTGTAACTTTAAAAAAAGATGAAAAAATAAAAAAACAAAACATACACAGATAAACAAAAACCCCTCTGAACACCCTGTGGTTTTGCTATTTGGATTTTTTTTAAGTTCTGCTATCAGTGTATGCTTTTAGGCTTTAACCTTCTACAAAAATGAAGCGAGTTAGGCTGTCACCATCCAGACAGCGATGTGTAACAAACCCGTGTGCTGCTTGCACCCTCGCACAAGCACACAGCCAGGGCTGCCTGTCACCGTGCTGCGACAACGCCCGAATATGCGAGGCCACGAACACAAACTAAGACTCCTGCTAAAGCTTCCTGATGAAGTCCAGTACAACAGAAAGCGAAAATGCCCAATTCAAAAGAAAACAACCAACAGCTGTACCGAGAGCACTGCCCTAACCCTGCCCGTCCCGCACAGCGGATCGCCTTCCACAGCTTAGGCACCATCTCAGCCACAGGAATCCTTATGGAGACCAAAGCGGGCAATGCGAGGCGTAAAACGAGCAGCCTGAACGCCACGGGTGTGCAGGGCACAGCGCCTAGACCTGAAGCACCATCTCCAGCTCTGCTTTCCCGGCTCCGAGGCGGAGGGGCGCCCACCTCCACCGCGTTTCCTGACAGAAAGCCCCAGCCCCCCCGGGTACTGACCAGGGCCTCCTGCTCCGAGGCGGTGACAGCGGCGCCATCCGTGAGGGCGGACATCTTGGTGTTGCACATCTGCCTGCAGCGAAGGGAGGCACAGCCCCGACACGTGTAACGCGGCGCTGCAGCCCCGCTCCCCCTCACAGCCCCCCCCCACCACCACCACACCGCCACCAAATGGCGGCCGGGCTGCGCGCTCCGCTCCGCTCCCCCTCTCACCTCACCGCCCTCGGCTCAGCCGAAGCGGGCCGAGCCGTGCGGTTCCGAGCCGAGCCAGGCCGGGCTTTAAATAGCGCCGCCGAGCGCAGGCAAGCCGGGGCTTAGCTCCGCCGCCCGCCGCCGCCCGACATGCCTGAGCATGACCGAGGCACGGCGGGGGGTGGGAGCCGCTGACTCACGGCGGGCGGGAGGCGGCCCCGGGACGCGGCGGCGGCGGCGGCGGCTCCGCGCCCCCCTCGCCGCCATCCCCGCCGCCCTCCTCCCCCCCCCCCCCCTTCCCCGTGGAGCTCGCCTCACCCCCTCCCCTTCTTTTTTCTTTTCTTTTTCTCTTTTCCGAGCCCCGAGCGGCCCCGCAGCCCCCCCCCCAGCCGCCGCCCCGGCTCCCCCCACGCACCGCCAGCCGCGCCCGCTCCGCTCACGGCCCGCGGCGGGCGGGGAACCGGCGGCGCTATGGGACCCGGCCGCGCCCGCTGCCCCGCGCCGCCATTTTGGCCGCCCTGCCCTGCCCGCGTCTCCCAGCGCCCTCTAATGGCCGCGGGGCAACGGCCGCGCCGCCTCAGGAGCCCGCGGGGGACGCCTGCGGCTCCGGCGGCTGAGGCGAAAAAAGAGGCAGAGAGCCCGGGTCTTTTTTTTTGTCGTCCCTCGTAACCCCTCGCGACAGTGGTCAGGGTGACGGCCGCTCCCTGAAGCCGTGGGGTTGCGGTAAACAAAGCGTGTTGTGGCACTGAAGCACCCAGGAGACGGAGCTGGTCGCTAATAGCAAGCCCCAAAGAGTCTCAATTTCCCCCGCAGAGCCTCACCTCCACTAAAAATCGCGAAAAGTTGCAGGCAGGTGTTGGTTATGCTCGCCAGCCTTGCCTCAGACACCACCAGCAGCTCTGCGGTGCCCACCAGTTCTGAAGCATCAAATTTTGCCTTGTTTTGTTTTGGTATAAACAGCCTTGAGACCTCTCATTTAACCTTGTGCTTTTGTAAACCCAGCTGCAGCATGTGCGTATGAGAAAAGGCCTCGTTATGTCAACTTCTCTCCAGCTTAATAAAGGTGGAAACTTCCTTACAGACCACATAAATTCAGTGGCAAAAACATCAAGTGTTGCTCACCTGGCTAATAGGCTGACACCTTTGGATACCAGTTCAATTTGCAGTGCTCATGTGTGCCTTTTGTTGTTGTTTTCACCGATTTAGGAAAGCGGCAAAAAGCTTTACCTCCAAAGAGAAATGGACAATGTGAACTATATTCTTGTCATCTCCCAACTCTGTAATTTCAAATTTCTGCTAAATATAGGGTAGTTAGGAGAATGTTATTTTGACAGGTACTCATTCGTTGCTACACTTCAACTATAAAATGGTTAGTTTTCAGCCTGACTCCCTTTTCTAATTCTCAGGTTTATTCTTTGCTCATGATGACATTGCAAACTTATATTTGAATGGTGAAAAGATTTGTTAAGGAACAGGAGTGCTGCAAATAGCGTGTGAAGATAAGCTATAGCAGAGAGAGCACTGCCACAACTCAATAATGCTAATTTTCCATGACAACTAACTTGCCCAAACAAGCAGTGGATAGCTGCCTGGACTTGTCCTTTGGCCAAAGACAGATTTCCAGCAAGAATGTCACCTTGTAAAAATTCCAGTAACAGTTTAAACTGAGATACTTGTGTGATGATGGATTTTCAAGATGAGCTTGTTATCCCTGTCGAGTGTAAAGCTCAAAGTCTACTGATGGTCAGTAGAGAAGCTGCACCAATTCCACAGAGCGTGCTTACCTTCTGTTAGCACCAGAGGTTCAAGACAAACAGACATCTGCTTTAAGTGGAATGTCTTGCCATTGGCAAAGTTAGGTATCTACCAATTTCCATCCAGCACACAAATTGCTGAGATCCTTAGCTAGCTTGATCTTTAGCAGATAATTACTGCTACACAAAAATGCGGGAGGTTTGAACTTAATGGCGGTGGTCAGTAGATCTAACACTGAACAGTAGTAACCTTATCAGTGCTCAAACTTCTGATGTGGTACTACACAAACTGTATTCCTATACAAAATGCATCTTACTTAACTGAAGTAAAACAAATTGAGTATTCGTCTAGTTCTTCTGAAAATATATCACGTTGTTGAACATTTTGTCTTAAAGGTGGTATTATTTTACTCAGGCAGTGTGGATATAAAGGTGCGTTTTAAATTATCACTAAGTTTTCTACATTAATATAGTCCAATACTAAACTGGCTGCTATTACTTTATTTTTTCCACTTCTCAGCCAACAAGCATCTTGTGACCAATGAATTTGTGATTAGATTGTGATTCTTTAAAGAATAACTTCCCTTGCCATTTCATTAACTGCTAAGATTAAAAAAAAAAAAAAAAAGCAAAAACAGATTCTGTCTGGAATTTTTCTCTCTCCTCAAGGACAATCTTATCTCTTTTCTCAGCCTCAGCCAGACTAATCTTAAGTAAGAGGAGACAGCTAATAGGTAAAATATGCTCTCTGTGCTTTGCTAAAGATAGGGGGATGTTTTCTGACATGAAATACTGCACCACCTTTGTCCCATTTCTCACAAAGACAGCATGTGGTATTTCATCAACATGCACAATTTATACTTGATAATTCTGGACAAGTATAATTAAAGGTTTTACTTGAAGGGTAATAAGCCTCTATAGTTACAAGAACTGACTTCCTCACTGCTTCAAGTTCCTGAAAAGAAAAGGAGACATCACTATACCTTAGTAGGTTTTCAACCTCTGTGCATTTATTTCTAATGTTAGGGAAAATATCTGGAGCAGATCTAGCCCATCTACCTTCACTGGAGATACCCACCTTACACTATTGTTAACTTACATAGTATATGAGATCCATATTAATATAAAATCAGGTTCTAACTGTAGACATTTTGTTGTTTAATGCTTTTGATTTAAATTATTTCTCCGGGCTGGATCTGTCGTACCTATAGGCACATAGGCCAGAAGAAAGATGGGTTGCTGTGCCACAGGGATGCCCAACTCAAATGAACAGATGGGTCATAAAAAGCTTCAATTTCAGATTTTTGTCACCACCATTTTTTATTTTTTTTTCCTGATGTGTCCCTCTTACTCTTTCCTAGTGTGTGTGAAATGGTCCGAAGTTCCCATAAGATGATCAAAGGCATAGGTGGCCAGGGTTTTCAGTTCTGATTTCCAGTCTCTCTTGTGATGCTTGGCTGTCAGGCGGGTTAACCTCATGTGCTGTCTATCCACTGCTCCCAGGCCAAAACCAAAACAGCCTCTGGGGCCATAGGCTGTGCTGGTGGACCCTTCCTAAGCCTCAGGCTGTATCTCTATCAGTGTGACAAAGCTGTTATCAGCCCGGTTACAGACTATCGGGCACAGCGAGATAACAGGATAGAGGGAAAAGCAGGCTGAGGAGCAGCTGGGGCCTGTGTGGTTTAATGAGGCCTGCGGCCAGGCCGTCTGCTCCAGCCACCACCCCACGCGCCCTGCACTGGGTCAGCACACTTCTGTGTAAGGATCAGGGAGAGAGTTTTATTTTCTTTCTCCACCTTCCTCTTCTCTTCTGTAAGAAAGAACACATTGATAGTCTGCTTCAGAGAACTTGCCCAAATACTTCATAAGCTAAGACCCATCCCAACAGAGAGGTCTGTCAGTAGCACCAGAAACCTCATACTGTAAACCGAATTCTATTAAACAAAAATGGGATGAAGCCTTCCTTGGGGCAATTTCAATCAAACTAATGCCAAGTGGAAATAAAGAGCAGGGCTCGGCAGTGGTGAGAACCCAAAGACCACATTCAGCGCTCCTGCAGCTGCTTAACAGGGAACAGCGGGCTCTACTTTGCTGTTAAACTTCTGTGTGCTGCTGTGCCCCATGCAACCTCCTTTATGTTGAAAAATGCAGGTGGGCTGCCAAAGATGGTCTCAAACAAAACGCTTTTCTAACAGCTGTTCAACCTGCTAGCTCAGGTAAACTCTTCTGAAGTGTTAAGGGCGAAAAGCTTCAAAAGCACCTGGAGCTGGACCAATCCCACATCAGAAGACACATTTTTTTCTTCTTTTGTTTACTAGACATGCACATTCCTTCATGCATCTGGGAGGCACTAGTGTCTGTCTGTCTGCCCAAATCTGATTCCTATTTGGTAGCAGCGCAGTCAGCCAGAAGCAACATTAAATGAAACAATAGTGGCAAAAATGCAAGACTATTATCTAGAATTTCTGCATTTCTGCTTAGAAGTGCTCAAAATCTAACATAGAATCAAAGTGATTTTTTTTCCCCTCTATATTTTAGTTTAGTCCTCGCTTTTGACTGAAGCTTGTGGAGTGATTGTAAAGAACAAAAAAGGATAAAACCTCAGAAAAAAAGTTCTGCTGATTCCCGGAAGCCTTAGTGACAAATATCACTGAGTGAAGAAACTCAGTTTTATTCCTGCTGCTGTTAACCAGGGGTGAAGTATGTGGCTAGGTTGTGACCATTTCCTGCTCTACTAATCTGTAGCTGTGAGGATTGAACAATCCTGTGATCTCTCCAGCTGGAGGAGTACTTGATGGCATGTAATTAGATCAAAGAGAGCCTCAGTTTAACAATGGTCATCTGCCTCGTTTAAGCAAATGAGGATGACACCAGTTCAGTTGAGAACTGTTTCTTTAATTCAGTGTTAAATTGTCATTCAAATCTACCACCGGGTTTAGCAGGAAACACATTTCTCTTCAAAGGAGTCGCCCAGAAGGCTGTGTGGCATGAACATGGAACTCAAGTGAGAGACAGATGTCCTCCAGAAGCTCCCGAGGAGAGCCAGAAACGGATTCACAGTCTGAAATGTGTCCAGGGAGAAGCTAGCTCTATTAGAGGCAGCGAGCAAGCAGCCCAAGCGCTGCCTGCTCGGGATGCCTTATACGGACAGACAGACAGAGAGGGACAGAACTGCAGCGGGTGCTGAGGTCAGGCCTGCTGCAGGCAGGCTGCACTTTGGGTTAGGGGAGGGGAGATTAAAAACGGATTCCAGCTGCCTGGCTGTGATTTGAGCTGTTTGTTACCCACACCCAGCTGGGTGTTACATCACACAAGCAGCTTCCTAACTCAAACTCCTTCTGTGTCTGGTCATGTAGCTCCTAGAATTGTCCCTGCCTTGCCAACCCAATCCTCCACATCTCTCCTACATGCTCCCATCCTTGCTTTCTAACTGCCTGTTATATAAGAAATTTTATATATGTATGTATATATTTACCATAAAGTTACTATAAATGCCCTCCCTTGCAGACTTTATGACTTTATTGCAGTCAGCCCCACAGTTTGTTTGGTTGATGCAGCTTTATTGACTGGTGTATGCTTTTACTTTACACAGAAAGAACTGCCTGTTCCTGAAAAAGCCTCAGCATTTTCCTTTTGCTGACATGATCGATGTGGTTTATAAATTCCAAAGTCACCTTTCTACTGGTATCAAATCGATCTCTGCTTTTGAAAGCATAGCTTTGCCAATACAGCTTTTAACAGAGAGTAAAACAACAATCCTAGTAGTTAGGCAAGTAGTTTGGAGTGCTCACTAGAGGCTTTATCAATATCTGGGGTAGCCTCAGCTTGAAATCTTGAAGGTTATTTGAGTAATTTCACACCAAGAGTCCCTTGCCATCACGAACAGGCTACATTAGGAACCTTGAATGTGTATCCCAAAGCCCACTTTGGAAATGGGTTTGTTGAGAGGATGAGTTTCCTCAGAGTTGCCTCGAGTTTAGGCCTCCTCCAATCCAGGCATGGATGCACATAGCTCCTGAAATACACATCTGTACCTGGCTAAGTCGTCTTTCTGAAGAGCTGCACTGCTTCCCTGGCTATCAGATCTGCATTTTTCTTTATCTGTATGCCCTCCCTTGATTCAGGTGGATCTTGATAAAATGTCATCTCACCATCTAGTTGCTGGCATGCAACTAACAACTTGCTGCCAAGCAAGGCGAGAAGTTTTTTGTAGCGTCCAGTTGTCTGCCATCGAATTACCACTTGCTTTACCACAAACATGAAACAACCACATCTAAGTAAGGAACACGTCCACACCACAGGAACATAGAGGTTCTCTCTGGACTGGAGTAGTAACATCAGCATAACGTATGAGAGAGAAGTGGTGCAGTTTTGGTAGGAGGGGAGCTGTATCTGTGCTAGTTCTATCACCTTTCGGTGACTATAGTGTTATGGACTTCACTAAGTGATATTTTGTCCACCTGATGCAATTAGGAAACTCTGACTTTCACAGATGTCCTCAAGCACCCTGATCACAGTCAGAAAATCAACCTGAGCTCCAGCTGAGACCCAAACCAAGAAGATGACAATCTGTGGACTTCTGATAGTGAGTTTGCACATACAGCACTGCTCTTTGTCACCATGCAAACATAAATGACTGTGCAATTCTTTTTTCCAGACAGTGATTATTCCATGCTCTTGCCCTTTTCACTTCAAAATGGTGGCTGCATCTGGTCTGTTTGAGGAGCCATCTAATAGGAAAAACATAGAAGAAATAGGCGGGCTTTCTAGACCAAGGGCCAGTGTGTATAAATACAAGAATGACAAGCTGGAAGAGTACAAAATAAATTCACCGGTGAATCCCAGACAGCTACCTAGCTGGCAAAATAGCCCGTGAGACAGTGCTTGGTACCTCAAGCGTATTGAGCTTTACACAGAAAACAGGGAATACTGGAGAGGCAGTCTTCCCAAAGTCTTCTGATCTTTCAGTTTGCATAGCATCCTGAATATGCAATAAAGTTTTGTTTATTTATTTATGATGTTTCCAGTGGTGTATTACTGTTCTGATTAAAAGAGAGATCTGAAGGGGAGTTACACGTGATTTATACAGAGAATCTTCTTCAGCCAGCCTAGCATTCAGACAGCCTAGTTACCATACAGCTGAAGTGGGCCACACATTGTAATTCCATCCTGAGCGACCCTTTCCCAGATTACTTGTTCTAGCAAAGAAGATTTATATTTCTGAAATCTCTTTGAACTTCATTTTTGTTTATGGGTGATCATGTGGTTTATCTCCTGCAGCCACATGCATGGCTTTTCTGTACTTAGGTGTCCACAAAGGATGTAACTAGTCATCTTGCTCTCCGCTGGCCAGGATTGTCTAACTACCTTATCGCTATGGCGTATTCATATCAGTGAATGTTAAGGATGTGATGAAAAATGTTTATTCACTGATGTTCTTAATGTCCCTGGTTGGGACCACTTCCTTCCGCTGGTCCTGACAGTTTGTTCCTTGTTCTCACCAAGGTTACTGGCCTAAAACAAAACAAAACAAAACAAAACAAAACAAAACAAAACAAAACAAAACAAAACAAAAAACACAGGAGGCTCCTATTTAGCCTCCAGCATTTAGGCTCCACCCGTGTATCAGCTGTATCAATTTACCATTCTACAGCTACTCAGTACATCTCACAGATCCTTTTTCCTATTCAAATGCCTGGTAAAAAAAGGGGTTGTGAAGTAGAGACTAAACCTCACGTCCCGGAATTAACAGACCATGACTGTAAAGGGAGAACAAAGCAGGAAACACTTCTGTGCTTTAACAGAACAGGCAAATGTCTCTAAAGATCTTGGGGTTTTCTGCAAAAAAATATTTCTCCTTCAATTATGAGTAACCACAGAGACAAAACCAAAACAAAACAACAACAAAAACCCCACACTTTTTCTGTGGCAGACTTGTAAGGCCAGGTGCAAGGAGCTGAGCACAGGTGCTTGAGCTGGCTGAGAAGATAGCTGGGTGTCCCTGGGAGGGATTTTGTGACCCAAAGGGATGTAGCAGGCACTTCTGCATCAGTTACAACAGCTTTGATGATTCATCTGCTTGTGCCAACTTGGGTGACAAAGCCCTGGAACATGACAGTCACAGACTTCTCTTGAATCATGGGGAAGCTCTTACATACATTTGCCACTCTCAAAGCTGCAGTGAGAAAGTAATGAAGTGGAGTTTGGCATTCTGGAGTTCCTGTGCTCTTTTACATATCCCTCTTGATTTCTCCACTTGCTTCCTTTGGTGTCTTTCTTCTCATACCTGCGCGTTCTTTGTCTCCTTCTCCCCTCCTTGTCATTGCTGCTTTTCAGATTTTGTTAGTATTTCCAAGGTCTATTTAAAACATACGGTCTCCAAACATACGAAAAAAAAAAAAATCATATAAAGATCTTGTAAAGCGTTCTGCAAATACTCTTACATGTCTTAATTTTTCTGTAATTATGTGTAAAAAATTCTCTAGAACTGGATCAATACAGAAGCAGATAGCTGGAAGGTTTACTTCTTTACTAGCATTTTAATATCCATATACTTGACACCCTGCCTCTCTTGCTTTACTGTAGAGCTTTAGTTTTTCACAGCTCCCATCTGAGAGTCACCTGGTACTGGTTTCCAGCGTGTTTTAGCTGGAGGAGGGCTCTGATGGGTCCAGCTGCACTACAGAAACTTGAACAAGATCAAGATACGTGGCTCTTGCTGGTGACTTGTTTTTGTTCCAGAATATTTTTTTTTTTTCCCTTTCTGACTAAATATGGAGCAGAAAAATGAAGGGGAATCCCTTACCCCTGCTGCCCTACAAACCGAAACCTCTTTCTAATTAACAGTGGGCAATACAGAGGAGGATAACATCAACCATCCTTATTAGCAAGGCGAGGTTTGCAGAGAAGAGGTTGTAGAGTTGCCAGTGCGACTGGTATATACATTTTTGAAGGATGCGTAGGTCACTGCGTTGGTTTTGTGCCACCTCCCCAGGTCTGACAGACATTACTCGGCTTACAAACCTTGCCTCGCTCAGCCTTACTTAGACTGCTGGCTTTGTAAGGTTCGTCAGTGAGGGTTTTGTCAGTGATTCTGCCATCTGCTGGAGAATAGGTTTTTTTTTTTTTTTTTTTTTTTTTTTTTTTTGCTTTTTCCTCATCTTAAATATGCAAATAAAATCTCTTTTTGAAATAAACGAAAAAAAATTTCACAAACCCATTGATGGCACTGGAAAAGCAGGACACAAACTCTGATTGCAGATGAAAAAGTCATTCAGCTGGTTTCACAGCATCCATGATAACACCCAAGTAGATCACCCACATCATTCTTTCAGCTGTGGTAGCAGAGTGCGTACTACCCCTGAGAATTGCTTCAGCTGGCCCTATCCAGCTGCTGCTGTGCTGCAAGGGAGCCGAAAGCTCTCTTGGCAAGATACCTTGGGTTGATTGTGTCCACAAAGACACTTCTGATGGTAATTTGCAGACTGTTCTGTTTTACAGCTCATTCACTCTGTACTTCAGGATGAACCTGTTCGCTTTGGTGGGAACTTCTTTGGAAATGCACATCCTGCAATGCAGAGAGCACCTCTCAGGTGTGGATTTTGCATTCCACTTGCACAGCAGCTTAAGGGAATTCTCCCTCGTCATGCAGCTATCTTTGCAAGGCTCCTGGAGCTTTCTTCCCATGCAATTCCAAAACCACGACCTTGGTATTTCTTTGCCTAGTAGCAGGCATGGTTTGCTGTTGTTATTGCAGCTTTGAGCAAGCAGAGCTAGCAAATAAAGTCACTCCAGCCCAAGCCATCACTTCCCTCTGCTGATGACTGCACTTTCTTAGCCAAAGTCACTGCCCCTGCAACACACAGAGCAGGGGGGATCACTGCCACATCTCGGTGGGTTCGATTCACAATTTGTGTGAAGCTGTAGCTCAAAGGGTTGCACAGCACAGGCACACATTCCTCTTTGCTGACACGGACGGGAAAGGAAAATAGTCTCTGGAAGAGGAGAAGCCACAAGTAGCTGGGGAGCGCTGCTGTCTCTCATCGCTGTCCTCCTGGTCCACGCAGCCACGCAGTTACTTTATGCAAGACCAAAAAGGTAACTGCAGTAAAACTAAGAACACAGCATGGTTTTATCTACACTCTGTATGTGTATCAGCTCTCCATTTTCGCTTGTTTTTCATCCCAGTTTTCAATGCAAACAGTGCTTCTTCCTCTGCTACGACCCAATCCTGGCAAACTGCTTTTGTAGATATTTCCAGAGGTTTAATTTCATTCATTTATAGCCCCAATATGTTAAATGCTCCTAGTAAATAAGGATGTCACATCCTAAAACAATTTCTTTACACATCTTTGTTCATATTGACCTACACGTATTTTTAAAAGGAAGCTCCTGAGAGCAGGGGG